TAGGGAGAAAATAGCAGAGTACGAATCCGTGTTTGGCGTCTGCGCTCACAACAGACCCAAACCAAGCGTCTAGATGCTTCGCGCCTCATGATCCCCTTCTGATTTTTCTACCGAAGAGCTCTCGAGCTGCTCTGCAGCTCGAGTTCAGTGAAGAAGTTCACCATCATTTGGAAAATAAATGTCGGTCGAATACGAATAGTTTTGTGAACCTAGCTCGGGTAGCAGACCGAGTTCAGACCTCTCCATGCAACAGACGGGCGCTCCCAATGCTTCTGCATCAGTTTCTGTGCTTACCAGCTCTGTAGCTCTCCTACAGCCCGAATTCAATACAGAAAATGGGCAACATCTCTCAAGATGACTCGAAGAATACGAATAGCTTTGCGGACCTAGCCCGAGTAGCAGACCCAGTTCAGACCTCTGGATGCAACAAACGAACGGGCCTGATGATTTCGAATTAGTTTCTGTGCGTGTGAGCTCTGAAGCTCCCCGCCGCCCGAGTTATGTGCGAAAACGGACAGCACCTCTCAAGATGACTCGAACGATACAAATAGTTTCGCGGACCTAGCTCGAGTAGCAGACCGAGTTCAGACCTCTAGGTGCAACAGACGAACGCGCCTGATTATTCTGCATCGGTTTCTGCGCGCATCAGCTCTGTAGCTCCCCTAGAGTTCGAGTTAAGTACAGAAAAACGACAGTCCCTGTCGAGATGACCCGAGCGATACGAATAGTTTTGCGGACCTAGCTCGAGTAGCATACCGATTTCAGACCTCTGCATGCGACAGACAGACGCGCCTGATGTCTCCCAAGCGGTTTCTGCAATTACCAGCCCTGTAGCCCCCCTACAGCCCGAGTTAAGTACAGAATACCGACAGCACCTCTCAAGATGACTCGAACAATACGAATAGCTTCGCGGACCTAGCTCGGGCAGCAGGCCGAGTTCAGACCTCTGGATGCAACAGACGAACGCGCCTGATGATTGTGAATCGGTTTCTGTAAGCATCAGCTCTGTAGCTCTCCTACAGCTCGAGTTAAGCACAGAAAACCGACAACGCATGTCAAGATGAGCCCAAACGGCCGATCCCGCCCGTGTGCTTTTTGGCAGTAGTATCTACCCGATCGAGCTGAGATTCAGACGGCGAGTGGGAATATGATCAAATATCACGGGAAAAAGATTAGAGATCTAACGAATGGTTGAATTTCGAGAACAAAATTTTCAACCGACCAAAAGTCACCAAAAGGTCCGTCGAGATTTTTCTTGCCAACTAGCTCTCCAGCGCCCCGGAATTACTCTGAAGCTTCCAGCAACTAGCTACGGGAAGCTCTACGAGTTACTTCCTCCTTGTCTGTTCAGGGCCAGGTCCTTGCCTCGCCGCCGACAGCCCCCATCCCCACCAAGGCAATCCTGTCGCTCGATACTTCCTTGTACTTTACCCTTGGCTGGGGCTCCACTGGCAGTCTCGCATCGGCCCAGCAAGGCGCGGGCATGCGTTTTCGTGGCGGGATATGTTGAAATTCCTCGGAGGAGGTGTTTGCAAGACCTCATTGGGCGGGAGATCTGGGAATGGGAAGAACCGACCCCGCTATAAAACAATAGCCCCCCATGATGGGGATGGTTATCATGATGGTCGCATGCTTCGTGTGGAAACTTCGCGCATGAGGGTAAAATGATTGTTGTTGTTGATGGACACGTGCGCTGGCAGCGCGCCCCCCCCTCCACACACCACACGCCAACACCGACACCCCAACAGACCCCCAGAGGGGGCCTGCGGCCCTCCCCCCCCCCTGGAGGGGGGGGGGCGCCCCCCCCCCCCTGGGGGGTGGTGTATTGGGGGGTCGGTGCCGGTGCGAGAAGGCCCCGTCGGAATTCCGGGGATTCCGAAGGAATTCCTGAGGATCCCCTGAGCGGTTGCTGCTAGAAAGTACCCCTGGCCCAGGGTACCCCTAGGATTCTCGGGATGGCCCAGGCGGCCTCCAGGGCACCCCTCACGAGGCCCAGAGGGCCCCAGGGGCTCCAGAATTGAGCGGAAAACTGGCGGCACCTTGGGCCAGGGGCACTTCTAGCAGCACCCGACCTGAGGATTTCTCAGGATGGCTGGAGACTTCTGCAGGATTCCCGGGGCTTCTTGAAGGAGGCCCGGGGATTCCTGAAGGACTGCTGAAGGATTTCTGACGGATGCCTCGAGGACTCCCAGGAAGGATGCCCGTGGGGAGAAAACGTGAGCAGGCGTACCGTGGGCCGGGCCCGCAGTGTGAGTGTTGACCTTGTTGTTGTTGCTGCCGCTGTTGCTGTTGCTGTTGCTGTTGCTGTTGCTGTTGTTGCTGTTGCTGTTGTTGTTGCTGTTGCTGTTGCTGTTGCTGCTGTTGCTGTTGTTGATTTTGTTGTTGCTGTTGTTGTTATTGGAGCGTCGTCGTCGTTGCATTCTCGTGGGCCCCACGCGGGCCTCCCCCTTCAGGGCAACGGTGGGGCCACCCTGAGGCTTGAGAGGCCCATCGGACCCGAGGAGGCGAGATGGCAGAGGGAAACAAAACACTCCCCCTCCCCCCAAACTCAAAGTTGGCGCGCCGGGGGAGACTCCGGTCGAGGTGCAACTCATCAGACCCACCGCCATCTTTGAACAGTGGGGGGAGGGGGAGGCGTTGACAGATGAATGTAGCGGGAGTGTTCGCTAATTATGTTTTCGAGGCTTGGATGGCAGAAGCAGAAGGCGCCGAAGACCACCGCGTGCTCTTTATTTTATTTGGGCGTGTCGCGCCAGGGCGCCAGGGAGGTGCAGGAAAGCAGGTGGGGCAAAACGAAAAGCAGAACGACAGCAAAACGACAAGCAACGTCTAGATCCAGCCCTGTCTTACGTCAAGCAGTGGCGAAGCGTCCCGGCTCGCCTATAGGCTCAGCAAATAATGTTCTAAGAACCTTTTGTGGTTTGTACGACATGTTCTTAGCACATTTTTGGTTGAGCCTGTTTTGTTTTCACACATCGGGTTCATGTTCGAAGAACATTGGTTGTGGTCTCAGAACATTTCTGGGCTCTAGGAACATCTCGTGGTAGGCCTATAGCCATGCCGGGACGGTCGGTCCCTGCTCAATTCCGGTGCACATCCCTCGGAGACCGGGAGAACAAGCAGCAGTTTCTATGGACTCCAGATTTTCTTGTGCGAGAAAGACCAGGGATCTGGCCCGGACCCTGGGCGTGCCTTCGGAGCTGCGTCCGTCGTCGAACCGGTTCGTAGATCGGGACCTGGACGATTGCTTCAGAAGACGTTTGGAGGTGAAGCCCGCTGTCTTAGCGTAGAGGTGTTTTCACTCTACCCACTGTTCCTTTCTAATGCTTAGGTAGTTCGTTGATTCTGGGGGGGGCCAAGATCCTTTCATTTCCAACTGTTCTATCCTGGGCCTCTTCCTGGCCACTCGGGGGTCAGGAACAACTTGAAACGAGCGCAATTAGAAATGAGCGCGATCAGAATTGAGCGACGTGTAAGCGGGGGTGTGTGACCGAGGGTAGAATATGAGATGCCGTCTGGCCCCGCGTCTCGCCGCCCAGCAGCTTCACCCGCGAGGCCGCTGCGCGCCGGCCTGCGCGCAGCGGGGCAGCCGAAAACTCTTGCAGAGGGGGGGGGGCCAGCCGCGCGTTCGCGTGTGCAGCGACGCGCGCCCGCGTGTGTTTCAGCAGATTCTGCGCACGCTCGGGGCAACGCGAGGACATAGCGGGCCCTGGCATCTGTGACACGCCGCAGCTGCATCGTGCGAGAAGGGAGACGTGACACGAACGGCTTGCGCCGCTCCCGCCAGCACGCGCGCTGAAACAGCGCACTTGAGCCCTCCTCTGGATGCAGGTGCAAGTGCTGTTTGGGGGTGACGCATGCGAGCACATCTGAATGCTGACGATGGAGACACAAGGGGCCCACAACGCTACGGCGGCATGGTATTGGACACAGTGGCATGGCACGGGGAGCACGACGCTGCACGCACGCACGCCGACCCACATCATGCAGTTCATCCGAGAAGTCGCCACACCACTAGGCGAATGCAATTTCGTGGTTCACCCCAAGCCCTGCACCTACGAACACAACAATGCGGCCAGCTGAGCAACCTTGACGTACAGTCGGGGCCCTGAAGAAGGAACCCTTTTGGTTGGGGAGGGGCTCCGCGTTCATTAAGTGTTTCACAGCTTGCCTCAGGTTTTCCTTATGTTTTCGATCGGAAATCGAAGTTTAACTTATGGAAAAATGGAGCCTCGTTCCTTATTTAGGGTTCCTTAGGTCAACGCCCCGACTGTACCTCACATACGCCATATTGTGGTGCGTGGTTCCACTGGCATGCGGCGGATCCCGATTTGTGAGCCGCCCCACTGCGCATCTCCCTGGAAGGGGCCCGACGATCGGACACACACGCCGCGGCTGCGCAATCGGTGTGCGGGTCGCCGAGCACGCAAAACATTGGAGAAACGTTGCCGACGGGCCCTGCGATCCAGGGCGGTATCCGTAGGCTGGCGTCCGGGGCAGGAGCAGGGAAGAATCAGACCATCGGCGGGTTCATCGCACAAGGGTGAAGGAATACCAGGCAAAAGGCTCCGGGTCCTCAATGTATGCGCTTGTCTTGTGCGTACATCTTCCGACGCCCCTCGAGGTGATGTTGCGCAGGAGTTAGGGGCATTTGCGTGAAGAATGGATCCATCGTCAATGTTGGTGTTGCTGCGTGTCGCCTTGCTACCCGCTAGCGCGTGCATGGGTGATTGCGGTCGCGATGGTTCCCAACATGGACCCCAGAGGTCTGGGCCCCTTCCCCAGGACCAGCTTTTCATCTTGAGTTGTTTTTCGACAGTCGTTGAGCCCGGCCAGCGCCCCCACAGCACGAACACCTCAAAACTCGCGGTCGTGTGTTTGTTTTTGTGCACGTCGCCAGAGCATTTGGGGATGGCCAGTGTCGCAGCACGTTGGCGTGGGTGCAGGGTCGAGTGGGCACGGGCGCGGCCCGGACATGAGTTAGACCCCCTCCGCCCGAGGTGACGCCGTGTCCACCATCGCCGAGCGAGAGCAGTTCAGCGTGTCAGGCTCAGCCAGCTCGGCGGCCCCGCTGTCAGAGGCTGCCCTGGCCCGCGGTGTCTCGACGCGAGCGGCGCGCGCGCGCGCCGGGCCCAGCATCCAGACGTCGGGGACGCGGTGGCCCTCCTCAGCCGGCAAGATGACAAGCACATACCCGGCGCCAGCGATACCACGAGCCAGGAGGAGAGATAGCAGAGCCGGCTTCGCAGTTCGGCCCGGACATCGCCGTCTCTCTCCCCAGCTCGGGGCGAGGCACGATCCAGGGGAGGGGCGGGCGATTCGGGAACGAGGTGGGGCTTTCTCAGGGAGGCGGAGGCGGAAAAGAAACAGCAATAGCAGAAGGATGAGGGAGGGGGAGCAGGAGGATGAGAAGGGGGATGGAGGATGAGAATGGGGACCAGCAGGATGATAATAGGGGAGATAGTGGGGATAAGTCTGGGAGACTGAGGAGGACGAAGGTGACAAGGCAGACGACAAGAATGTGGAGGAACGGGTCAGAAGTGGGAAAAGGAGAAGAAGGAACAAGAGCAGGAGCAGGAACAGGATTAGGAAAGGGAAAGGAGGAGGAGGAGGAGGAGGAAGAGAAGGAGGAGGAGCATCAGGGGAAGGTGGTGGAAATAAGGAGGAACCGCAGCAGCAGGTGAAGAAGGAGAAGCAGCAGGAGTTGGTGGATGGGGGAGAGAAGAGCACGATCGGGAGGGGAGGGAGGAGGAGGAGGAGGAGGAGGAGGAGGAGGACGAGGAGGACGAGGCGGGGGAGCAGGAGTGGGAGCCAGGCGGACGGCAATTGGAGGGGACAGTAAACGTAGGGGAGCTAGGGTTAGAATGAGATAGGCGCACATGGAGCCTCAAAAGAGCTCCGAAATTTCAGCAGTAGGCCCAGCATGTGCACGGAAGGTACACGTTTCTTTTCCCCACGTGTATTGCCCCCCTTCCTCCCCCCCTCTTGTATGCCGGCCAATTCGCTTTGTAGTGCCCATGCATCGTTGCCACGCTGGAGCGGATTGCCCCGCCTCGCCGCTGACGGAAAAAGTGTATTGCCCCCCACACCCCTCCCGTCAACGAACGCCTGGGGAGGGGAAAGGCAGGAGGGAGGCAAGAAGGGCGAAGGCCGCGGAGGGGGGGGCAGGCAGAGGAGGAGGGGGCTTTCGGAGCCTGCTGTGTGTTGGGACGGGACCCCTGATGTCGCGACGGCATGCTGCTGCGCTCTGGCCTTCTTAGGCTCTCTTCCCATTTGTTCCTTGTGTTCCCTTCTCGCCCCTGGGAGGCGATGCGCTGCAGAGACAACGGCCTTTAGCTTGCGATGCGATGCGATGCAAAAGGTACAGTCAAGACGCCGAAGTCAACCGCGTCGGGCCCGGGAGGGGCCGCTGGCCTCCGGGCCGCTCCTCAGACTTGTTTTCTTTTGATTGGGGAAGCCACTCATTCGCGGCCGATGCGCGTCGGGGCCAGGGAAGCCCCGTCGCTCCTCCTCCTCCTCATCCTCCTCCTCCTCCTGCACCTCCTCCTCCTCCTCCTTCTCCTCCTCCTGCTCCTCCTCTTCCTCCACCTCCTCCTCCTCCACCTCCACATCCTCCTCCTGCTCCTCCTTCTCCTCCTTCTCCTCCTCCGCCGCCTCCTCCTCCTCCTCCACCTCCACCTTCTCCTGCTCCTCCTCCTCCTCGTCCTGCACCTCCTCCTCCTCCTCCTCCTCCTCCTCCTCCTCCTCATCTCTTCCTCCTCCTCCTCCTCCTCCTGCTCCTGCTCCTGCTCCTTCTCCTCCTTGCCAGATGCGCGCAAGGCACCAGCGTCGGTGTTTTGACGTTGAACCCGCTTATGCGGATGTTCTTGTCCTTGTCCTTCTTCTCCTCCTCTCCACCTTCTCCTCCTGCTCCTCCTCCTTCTGCTCCTCCTCCTTCTGCTCCTCATCCTCCTCCTCATCCTTCTCCTGCTCCTCCTCCTCCTCCTCCTCCTCCTCCTCCTCCTCCTCCTCCTCCTCCTCCTCCACGACGGCTGAGCAGAAATGGGACCGAGGTGGTGCGGAACCTGGTGGGCCATGGCATTGGCGAGTTCTTTCACGGGGTGCCGCAGGCACCGCGGGCCGCCGCCGGCACTTTTCGAAGAGGCGAAGGGCCACAGGGTTTGGGGGAGAAGGAGGTGAACTTCGCGAAGGGACACAGAGTTCGGAGGAGGAGGAGGAGGAGGAGAAAGAGGAAAAGGAGGAGGAGGAGGAGGAGGAAGAGAGGAGGAGGAGGAGGAGGAGGAGCAGGAGGAGGAGGAGCATGAGGAGGAAGAGAGGAGGAGGACGAGAGGACGGGGACGAGAAGAGGACGAGGAGCAGGAGGAGGAGGAGCAGGAGGAAGAGAGGAGGAGGAGGAGGAGGACGAGGAGGAGGAGGAGAAGGAGGCGCTTCGCCGTCCATTGCAGCCTCATCCTGCTCCTCCTACCTTTTTTGTTATGGTTCGTCGCAGTGTCGCCGCCCGTTCGTCGCCCCTTGCCCTTCTCCCCAAGCCCCCCAGGGATTGCGGAGAGCACAGCCGCTCCGCCCCCTGGGGGGTCCTTCGTGCTCGTGGTCACCACCTTTTTTCAGTATCATGGCGCCAACATAGCAGAGCGGATTTCGTTCGGAAAACGATAGCATGGGCCCGGCTCGTCCTGGAGAATTTCGTTCCGGATTTCAAGGTGAATTTCGTGCGGTTTCTTTTTGGCCGTGAATGAAGACCAAAAAGAATCCACGCGAAATTCACTTCGTTTTTCGCTCGCCGTTCTGGGCAACAATCCACAGAAATCCGCTGCAGCACGTGTGCGAGGCCGGTGCAATGATCAGTACGGGTCCTTTAGTGTGATCAACGCCCCCCAAATGGCAATTGCCGCTGAGGAGGGGTGGTTGCGTTGATTGGAGGATACCTGATGGCACCAGCCCGAGTCCGAGGCAAGGGAAGGGTAAGGAGTTTCTGGACTTCGCGGCGTGGGGGCTGGGCTCAAGGTTGTGCCCAATGCGAACACACCCGCAGCGCCCGCAGCTGCACTGGGGAAAAAAGATCCCAGCGCTGCCGCTGCTCTGCACAGATGCCCACCCGTGCAATTTCCGTCCTCACCCCGAGTCCCCTCATCCACTTCAAGAATGGGGCATGATGAGGACCCGAGACTCCGATGACTCCGCCGAAAGCAGAACCCAACGAGGGAGGCCACGAAGTAATGAAACGGCGGCAACCCTCAGCCATTCCTGATGCCACCGCTTAAGGGGACGCCCTCCGCGGATGGCACCTGGCCGGGAGATTCCTTGAGGCCGTCGTGCGGGCCCGACAGCGGGAGCGGATGATGATGATGATGATGATGATGATGATGATGATGATGATGATGATGATGATGATGATGATGATGGTGATGGTGATGATGATGATGATGCTGATGCTGATGCTGATGCTGATGCTGATGCTGCTGATGATGATGATGATGATGATCGTGATGACGATGATGCTGATGATGATGATGATGATGATGATGATGATGATGATGTTGATGCTGATGCTGATGCTGATGCTGATGCTGATGATGATGATGATGATGCTGATGAAGATGAAGAAGGAGAAGAAAATGAGGAGGGGGAGGGGGAGGGGGGAGAAGGAGGAGGCGGAGGAGGAGGAGGAGTACAATGCGAGGAGGCATGGCGGAATATCCGCCACCGTGACAGCGAATCACGCTGTGTGCCGACCCTTCGGGCACCAGCCGCAAGACGGTCACGTGTGACGAGGGGCCACTTCGCGTGGAGCTCTCTCTCTCTCTCGGGGACCTTCCGTATTGGGAGTGGCTTGGGTTCCTGGGGCAGTTTTGGTGCGATATTGCGGTCCTTTTTAGGTTGCCTTGGAGCCGTGAAGGGGGTGGTCTTGGGGCCTTCTGGACGCCCTCTTGTGCCAGCTAGGGGCTAGCTTGGGGCCGTGTAGGGGCCCTCTTGGAGCTCCCAGTGGACATCTCGGACCCCCAAGGCTGCAAGTGGGTACATGTTGGATTGAAGAGTGTGAGAAGCGCAATTTGTGTGTCAGCGTGGGCCCCAAACTGCGATGTATTGCAACATGCGCGGCGCAATCTAGGTGGTGCAATCTAGGTGGCGCAATCCACATGGTGCAAATTATGTGGCGCAAAGCAATACAAAGCCATACAAAGCCACGCAAAGCATTATCATGCGATGCAAAACAATGCAAAGGCATGCAAAGCAATTCAATGCAATGCGATTGCGATGCAAAGCAATCCAGCTGCGACGGCGGCGATGGGCGGCGACGAGCCTGTCGAACCGCCACTGGGGCTCAGTCACCAGGTACCAGCGGCGATGTCGGCGGCGACGGGCGGCAATGAGCCAGCCGGACCGCCGCTGGAATTGAGTTAATTCACAGCAGAAGCAAACAAAAACAAGTGCAAGCACTGTTTGGGGAGCAATGACACGCCAATGGCGACAATGACATTCGTACACTAGTTAGCCGAGGGGTCGCAGCCCAGCATCTGGCGTGGGAACGTCCCGGGCTCTAGGGTCTGCGTTCCGTCTGCATCTGGGTGACGTCCCAGGCTCTAGGGTTCACGCTCGGGTTGCTCGGGGGTATCGCTTCGTGCACCACGCGACCCTCGTACTCAGCGTCGTCCTGCGCCACCGACTCGGATTCTCCTGGAGTTGGGGTTGTTTTGGGGGTTCGCGTGGACTCTCTTGGAGGCCTCTTGGAAGCTAGTTGTTGGGTGCGTCTGAGGGGCCCTTGGGAGCGTCCTGAGGCGAGCTTGGGCCATCTTGGCGGCCTTGGTGGACTTCCTTCGCTGTCTTGGAAGCCTTTGCGAGTCTTGGAGAGCGCCAGGATGACGCCAGGCCGCCCAGGAGGCCTCGGGAAGGGGGTGTCTGCAGGGCGCTAGGAGAGTTTGGGGAGGCCCCGTAGAAGCTTACGCAGACCCTACCAGATTGCCTCTGGCCTCCTTATCACGCCTGAACTTGACAGGGGGCACGGTGCCAGGATGTTGTCCGGGCCTCCAGGATCGGGGGAGCGTAAGACCCGGGTTTGCCAGGACTCGGGTTCGCCATCGTTTTTTGATGACCGCGACTCGGATTTTGACGAGGAGGAGTTTTGTGGGATGTCTGCAGCGGGAGGCCTCGTCAAAATGCAGGCTCGGCCTCGTCATTTTTTTGACGACCTCGTCGGGGATTTCCGAGTCCCCCGTACCCGGGTCTTACGTCTCCCCGACAGGAGGGCATTCGCTGCCACGGCTGGGTTCGCCTCGCGATCTTGGTGGGTCCTCGTTTTATCCGCCTCGCCGCGCGCCGCGTCCTCCTCCTCCTCCTCCTGCTCCACCTCCTCCCTCTTCCCCATCCTCCCTCCTCCTCCCTCTTTCCTGGCTCCTCGTACTCTTCCTGCCGTCGCCCCTTTTAGGCGCACAACTCACAGGTGCTGTGTCCCACCGGGAGGGTTACCTGTGGCCCCGTAGGCAGAGCTCGCATAGCGGCACCCCGCCCATGCACGAACACCCCTTCACACGGTTCGTGCCGCACACAGAGAGCTCCACGTACAGCCCAGTGGGCAAATTGGCAAATTCGTATGGCGCCCTTGCCCCCCCGATTTCCCCCCCCCCCCTCCCTCTAAACGTTTCGCGTTTCACGGGGAGCTCCACCTGCGCACCACGAGGCAGGGTTTGCATAGCGCCCCCCCCCGCCCATTTCGGCACACCCTCGCGCGTTTCTTGCCCTACGTGGAGCTCCACCTACGGCCCCCGAGACGGGGCTCGCATGGAGTTCCCTCGCCAGTGTTGGTACACCCCTCACACCTTGCGCACCTCGCAGTGCGTTCCACCTACGGCCCCAGAATCAGGATTCGCATAGCATCCCCCCGCTCGTTTCGGCACACCCCTCACCCGCTGCGTGTCCTCAGGGAAATTCACCTACGGCCCTGAAGACGGGGTTCGCATAGCGTTTCCCCCTCCCCCATTTCGGCACACTCCGCACACAGCTCGAGCTTTACAGGGAGCGCCACCTACGGCCCCTGAGACGAGGTTCGCATTGCGTCCCCCCGCCCAGCCCGGAAGACCCCTCACACGGTTTGTGCCCCACAGGGAGCTCCACCTACAGCCCCAGAGGCAGTGTTCGCATGCCCCCCAACGCCCATATCGGAACATTTCTCACACGACTCGTGTAAATCCCCTTCTTTAGTTTCCGTTGGCAGTTAGTAGGCCACCATGTATCGATGGAAGCCCAAGAACGGAACTTGCATTGACGATCGGGCAAGCCAGGAGGGTGATTGAGAAAAGTTGCACCTCGTGGAACCACGCCAACATCAGCACTGCAAAACTGAAGTGTTGAATGCTTGTATATTCTCGAATTTTCTGTATGGACTGGGGAGCTGCATCTTCCTAAACCCGACCATGGCAGACCCGATGGTTTCCAAGCGAAGCGTCTCGGCAGATTCCAGTAACTAATGCCTGCGCATTAACCGCGGATCAGAAACGTCACTGTGTGAGCGACAGCAATTGCCAAGCCGTTACCGGTATTGCTACTATACCAACAGCTACGATTGTATGGTAAATTTGCGGCAGTTTGCCCAAACTCCTTCCCGAGAAGCATGGTTTTGAGAGTCGGGGGGCATGCATCGCGATGCCGAGAGAGTGGGGCAGTGCTCGCGCCAGGAGACGCCCCCGTGTGCAGTGGACTAGGTATGTGCACGCGAGGGCGTTAAAAGCAGCATGGAATGACCCAGCTCGCTTGCATGCTCTTTTACAAGGAGCTCCGGAATACTTGCATAGGAGAATATTGCCAATAGTGTCTCCCCATCCTTCCCCTCCCTCCTTCCGCCCCCCTTCCCCCTCTTACAACCATGAGTTGTGCAGCTCGCCCTCGCGACGCGCTGGGACGAAGGGTCCGGCGTGTGTGCCCCGAGGCTCTGCACTGGTTCGGCGCCCCATTGAGATTTCTTGCGTGTCATCGTGTGGGTGTGTCTTCATTTTTTTCTGTTCTGCCGATGCGCCGTCAGGGCGCGGCTTCTGCGCGTGTACGTCTCACACGTTTCTTGCAGCCCACTAGGCAAGTTCGCACGGCGTCCTCCGCCCAGTTCGGCACACTCCTGTCACGGATCGTGCCCCGCATGGAGCTCCACCCATCGTACCAGTGGGCAAGGCCCGTTTCGCCCCCCCCCCTCACGCGGCTCTTGCCCACAGGAACTCCACCCACGGCCTCAGTGGGCGCGGTCGCGTGGGGGCCTCTGCTCATTTCGCCCTCCTTCGCGCGGGTCGTGAACCACATGGACTTCAGCGCTCAGTCTGCACGCCTGCTCCGCAGCCTCCGACCTGCACCGACCCGTGGCGCGCAGCATATTAAAGAGAGGGCCACGCGCTGCGCTACGCGCATGTGCATGGGCTTGGGCCCTCGCCGGGCTAAGTGCAGCTTCCGCTGGGGCCTTGGCCGTTGTCGGCACGGCTGGATTCGCCTCGGGATCTTGATCAGGACGCGCTCTAGGTCGGAGGTCGACTGGTGGTGGAGTACGAGGTCGGTCGGTCAGTCGAGGACCACGAGTGGCAGAGTCTGCTGAGGTCCGCCGGGGGTTGTGCGCGACAATTGCGGCCCCGAGCCGCAAACAAGGGCTGCCCGACCACACAACACGCCCGAACAAGATCCCTCCACCCTAACTCTTCAACACAAAAAGGTGTTCGTTTTCATCCAAACGTGGCGGCCTAACACCTCCTATGGAGTTCAGGAGGAGGACGGGCGAGGGTGTCAGTCTTCATTGAGAAACCTATCCGTATTTCGCAGGGATCGGAGGAGGATGAGGACTGTACTGGCCAGTGATGGCTGCTCCCGCAGGTCTTCCACAGCCGCAATAGCGACCGGCGGAAGATGGAGGCGGGCGTGACCTTCACCATCGAGCCGGCTCTTGGCGAGAGCAATGGGGGTTTGACAGCTGATATTTCGCATTTTTTCTTTAAACGACTACCAAGTGTAGCATTGCGAGCACACAAATGATCACAACAGCAACTATCAGTTTGAGATGATTATTTCTCATCTGCTCGCGTGCCGCTCAAACAGTATATCTCCAACCCTCTATACCCGCCCTCTTCTTCTATCGTACCCCCCCTGTGGATATATAATCCTTACCTACTACGCGTACTGGGCGCAGCCCTAAGTAAGGGGAAGGGAGGGAGGAAGGAAGAAACAAAGGGGAAGGAAAAGGATGGAGGACGAGATAGATTAGCTAGAGGCGGGGTAGGAGCAGGAAACCAAGCGGTAGAACCAGACGGGCGGGTCGGACGGGCGGACCCGAACGGTCAGTTTGTGCGGGCAGGCCCAAACGGCCACGTCGAGCGGGCTGGTCGTTGAAGCACCAGCCTTGCATGGATCGCGAGAAGGTCTCGAGTGACAGCGCTATTCCCGAGTAAATTGTGCGGAAGTCCAAAGCGAGAGCGTGACTCCTGAATGTTCAGGGCGCGGCGTTTCAACCAAACGGGAGGTCCCACGCGAGAGCGCGATTCTTGGATAAGTTGTGAGGAGATCCCGCGCGAGAGCGCGTTTTTGAGTAAATTGTGGGAGGCAGGAGCGATGTCACTGTAGTTCTCGGGCCAGTGGGCCAATCGGAGCCTCGATTTCTTTTTTCAATAAAACAGGTGCGAACCCCGGGAGGGGTGCCCCCTTTGAAAAGCACAAAAAGGTGGCGCAATATTTCTTTGTTAGGAATATGTTAGCCAGCGCTGACCCAAACCAGTATGTTTCTAGCAAGACGTGGTGTGCAATCGACGTGGGACAATATATGTGGTGCAATCTACGTGGTGCAATCAATCACTTGCTCAACTTGAAGCTGTCCTCTTCACTGCTTGTGCCAACATCTCACCCTCCCACCCGCAACTTGGTCGCAAGACCTCTTCAGACCGTGACGGTGGGTACCAAATGGCACTTGGCAGCGACACCGACGACAACAGCGACAACGACGACGACGACGCCGCCAACAACGACTACGACGACACCGACGATTTCTCCAACGACTTCGACGACGACGGCAACGACGACGACAACCCCGACGACGACAACGACGACAACGACGACAACGCCGACGCCGACGACGACGACGACGATGACAACGCCGACGACGACGACAACGCCGCCGACGACGACAACGACGACGCCGACGACGACGACGACGACGACGACGACGGCGGCGACGACGAAGACGACGACGAAAACGACGACGACGACGACGCCGCCAACGAAGATGACGACGACGAGGGAGGAGAGAGGACGACGGCGACGACGACAACGCCGAAGGAGGAGGGAAGACGACGACGACGGCGACGAAATAGGAGGGACAACGACGAAACGTCGACGAAGACGACGAGGGAGGAAGGACGACCACGGCGACAACGACGACGGAAACGACGACGACGAGGAAAGACAGAGGACGACGACAGCGACGACGACGGCGACGAGGGAGGAGGGAGGACGGCGACGACGACGACGACGACGCAAGAGCGCGCGCGCACGCTTTTGTTGAAAATCCGTGTTGCGAAACTGTGTGTTTTTGTATGTTTTATGAACTCTTTCCGAAACCGGAGGTTTTGAAAGATTTCGGCGCGCGCGTCTGCGCTTCGTCCCGTTTTCTGCAGAGGATTCTCGCGACGGCACGCGCGCAAGGGCGTTCGATTGATTTCGACATGCGCGCGCGAAGCCCGTTTGGTAGTATGTTTTGAAAATATGGAAAACCGTTTTTCCATATTCGGCGCGCGTAATCTGTTTCAGCAAATCAGTGTTGCGAAACCATGTGTTGTTGCATGTGTTCTGGAATTGTTTTTTTTTTTTTTTTGAAATCCTTTCGGAACCTAAGGTTCTCGACGGATTGCGCGTCGATTCACGCGTGCGCATTTCGTCAATTTTTTGGCAAGCGGTTTTTGGAAACTTATGATTTAATGATAAACGAGAGCGCGTGCATAGTAATTGTTGCAGAGGATGGCGGGGGGGGGATACCGACATGGATGAATAAATATGAAATCGTTATACCAAAGGGGGGGGCGTTACTTCCAGGGGGGTAGAATATCATTCTGCTGAACTTGAAGTCATCATCTCCACTGCTTGCGCAAACATCCCACCCTCCCACCCGCAACTTGTTTGGCAAAACTCATGATGCGGGGGGCGGCGGCGCCACCGGTGACGACATCGATGGTAACATCCTCACTGCCGATGCTCGCCACCGCGAGTCGATGATGAAGGTGAGCATATCGACGATGCTCGGACGCGCGCGATGGCAAGGCGACGTCGGCAACGTCTGCGACAATGACGCAGATGGCACCAGCGACGACGATGTTCAAAAGGGCGACGGCACGAACGATAATGGCGCCAATGATGGCAAACACGCTGCCGATGCTGATGTCCATCCGTCGATGAGGCAGGTGATCGCGGCGATGCTGCCAAGCTTGAAAAGGAAATCCGCGCGCGCGGAAATTCGACAAATCCGTCGGACTGATCGCGCGCGCGCGGCGGCACGCGCATGTGGCCCGAGTGGTATTTGTTGCAAGGGATTCGCGAACTCGGCGCATGACAGGAGTATCTCGGTTGCACCGCGAGGTGGCATGAATTCGTTGGATTTGGCAGAAGTCATAAGAATATGCCAGCATGGCGCTGCCAAAACATTGGGCTGTTTTCGGGCCCTCTATGCTGCAATGCTTGCAAACGCAGTGTGTTTGGCACGATTTTGACATGGGCGCGCGCGTGATGACTTTGTGGTATTTGTTGTGAGGGATTCTTGGAGGCTTGTGATTTTTGATTATCGAGCGCGCGTGCGTATTATTTCCGTTGCAGAGGGTGGCGGGGGGGGGGGGGGGGGCGATGCCGACCTGGCTGGGATAGTGCGATTTCATATTTAGGATGGGCGACGGGGCAGAATCCGATTTTAATTGCAACGCGCAAAGGGGGGCCGTTGACTCCGAGGGGGGGGGGGGGAGATAGAGTCTATTCATGATTTAGGAATGAGAACTGGTTGTTCCAAATGAGTTGCCATCTGCCGCGCGCCGCGCAAGTATTCCACCCGCCCGCCCGCCCCGCAACTTGGTTTGCGAAACCCACGCGGCGACGATTGCGATGAGTGCTTGGCGTTGGCCGGTGCATCTCTGCGGCCGTGCTGGCCCGCGCGTGCTCGCGCGCGCGGCGGCCAGCAAGTTCGGCGCGAACGACGCGACCGCGGTGGCGCTGACTGGCGGGCGCTTCCTAGCGGGCACTTCAGCGCGAGTCCATGACTTGGGTGGTCGCGGTATCATGGCGACGCTGACAACGGTTGATGCGATTAGGAGAGTAGCGACGATGGCGGCGCTGGCGGCGCTGGCGACGGCAAGGCGCACGACGGCGCCGACGTTGATCACGCCGGCCGAAAACAACGACTACGTCCTCGCGACGGCGATGAAGTTCGCGGGGGAGTTCGACGCGCGCGCGCGGCCGACGCGCGCAAGTGACCCGCGTAGCTTTACTTGACGCGGATCGCGCCCCCCCCCCCCCCACCCAGCACGCTCCGAGGGCGTTCGAATGCGTTCGACATGCGACGCGAGAGGCTCGCTTGGCAGAACGCGATAAACGCGTTGAAGCCCGCGAGACCGCGACCCCAGGATTTCGTTAAACACTTGCGCTGCGAAACCACGCGTTGTGCCACGCGTTCGGGGCGCTCGTGCTCTGACCCCTCATGAAACCCAAGGTGCTCGAAGGATCTCGGCGCGCGCGCGACGACGCGCGCGCGCGCGTCGCCGCGTCATTTGCAATGGTTTTTCCTGCATTGCGACAGCGCGCGCGCAATGGCGCTCGGACAATTTCAACGCGCGCGCGCGAGAGGCCCGTTTGGCAGCGCGATATGAAAGTGTTGAAACACATAGTTTCTTTGAATCCGCAAGAGCGCGGGCGCAGGCTTTCGTTGACAACCCTCGTTGCGGAACCATTTGTGCGTTCATTTATGTTCGTGGTTCTCGGTTTTGAAACCTCTGCGGAACCTAAGGTGTTAGATGTGTTTCGGCACGCGCGCGACAACGCGCGCGCGCACGTCGTGTCATTATGTTGCAGGGGGTCGTTGTAGAATGATGGTTTTTGATCGACGAGTGCGCGCGGATTTGTTTGGGCCGGGGGCGAAGGGGGGCGATGCCCGCCTGCTCTGGATGGTACGAATTCACATTTAGGAGAGGGTTGACGGCAGGGCAGAAACACATGCGAACGGCAATATTAAAAGGTGGACCGTTGAGTCAGGGGGGAGGTGTATTCTAATTTTTCAAAGACGGAGAACATCTGCTCGCAGTGAGTTGCCCACCCCACTGCTCACGCAATCACCCCGCCCGCCCGCCTGCACCTTGGTTTGCAAAACCCATGCGGCGGCGATTGCGACGAGTGCTTGCGGTTGGTTGGCGCATGTCCGCGACTGCGCTAGCCCGCGCATGCTCGCGCGCAGCTGCCGGATAGTTTAGCGCTGTAGACGCGGCCGCCTCGGCGCTGACCGCCGGGCACTCCCCGCCGGGCGCTGCAGTGCGAGTAGGTGACCCGGGCGGGCGCGGTACCGTGGCAGCGTCGACAGCGGTAGACGCGAAGATGACGGTCGCGACGCAGGCGGCGACGATGGCAATGACGACTGCAAGGCCAACGACGGCGCCGATGCCGATGACGCCGACGACGATAACGGCGCCCTCGCGTCGGCGACGAAAGTGATGGAGAGAGTTCGACAAGCGCGAGCCGCCGACGCGCGAGAGTGGCCCGCGCGGCATTATTTGACGCGGATCGCCCGCCCCCCACTCCCCCCTGCACGCGCGCAAGGGCGTTCGAACGATGTCGACGCGCGGCGCGAGGGGCTCGTTTGGCCGAGCGCATTGGAAAGATTGAGGAACCTGCACAGACTTCGCAGGAGCACGAGCGCGCGCATTT